CCCTCGCCATCTGCACGGCATTGTAGTCGCTTCGTGAGTCGCTCGAAGGGCTGCAGGAGCCTATAGAAGAGCTCAAGCTCGTGCCAATCAGCCTCGGTGAGGAAGTCATTCTTGTGCTTGTCGTTTTTATCCGGAGGCTTCCACTGCGCCTGGTAAAGATCGATGGCAGGCCGACACTTAAGAGCACGCTCGATCATGTAGAACGTCGCGTTCCATCGAATGCCACCGTCACTGAGGAGCACGCCGACAAACAGCATGCCGTCGCTTGTCTTCGTGACGCGCATGCGAGCTCTCAACTGCTCACGGCGTGCGTCGTTTCGATTAATGTAGACAACGAGGTTGTGCAGCTTGCCAATGACGCCTTTGAGGGTCCAGAGAGCTACACGCTGCTCCTCCGAAGCCTCAATAAGATTCTTCTCCCACGCGCTGACGCCTTCGCCAAATAAGAGAGCCTTAACGACGAGATTAATAATATGGCCGATACAGCGAATACGGTCTGCTTCTGGATCGATCGAGGAAAAGGAACGCTGTAACACCTCGAGGCATTTGTCGTTGTCATCAGCGTTATCCATAACGAAGGAGCCGAGCTTCTCGCCGATGCCGTATTGTAGAATTACTGGCTTTACCAGTGCTGCGAGGTCGTCGCCAGTGTGACCGCCATAACGTCGTGGGAAGCCGAGGAGGAGTGTTCGAGGATGGCCTTGGCCATCGACGAAGTGTCCGCAAACAGCGACGTACTCTCTGCGATTGTGAGCTCGCCATCCGTCGATCGAGAGGTTGATGGTGCTGAGTGCAGACTGCACCAATTCGATGATGAATGGTAAGCGTGCTGCCATCGAATCCTTAATCCACCGCGAGAGCGTTGAGTGATGCGTTGGTAACAGGCGCGCGAGCGGAGGCTTGCCGTATGTGAGTAAATCAGTGGTCGACTCGTCCGTGACTTCTCGGTAGCTAAGGCGTAGCTTGATGGCCCAGTCAATGAGCTTTTGCTTGTACTCATCCTCATTAAATGGCATGATGAGCTGGAAAACTTCTGCGGCGTTGGTGGTGTCGATATCATCGTCATCGGTGGTCGAATTCGAAGGCCGTTTGATCTTGTGGAACTCTAAAAGATGCTGGATTGCGGCCGTCGTCGATTCTGCTGCGAATAACTGGCTGGTATACCGCTTCTTGGTATGGCAATCGGCGCATAGGAAGTACTTGTCATTACTATGCTCCAACTCTGCTCCATATGAATAGATCCACGAGACCTTCACTCGTCTGCCCACGTTCCTCTTGTCCCGTATGCGATACTGTATACCCTTGAGAATCGTGCCATCGTGTCGCCGAAGCACGCCCCAGTCAATGGGGAACGACAGAGAATGTGGAGGGCAGGTAGACCGATGGAGAGGTTGCTCCACGCCTGACGTTCGCTCGGTCGACGGTATCGGCTCGTTTAGATCGGTAGATTGCCTCGAGGAAGACGTCACAGATAAGTTTCGCGGGCTTGACGACCGGCTTGGGCCCCAAAACGCGTGTAGCGACATCATAACGCGTCGATTCGACGCGTTGTGGATAGCGGCTTGGTGGAGCAGGAGTAGGGTTCCACTTCGCCTGGGTGAAGATCCCAGTGTGGGCAATGCGCTAAGCTATTCTACGTGCCATAACCGCACAACGGCCCCCCCGATTCTAAGCAATGTAATTGGCCAATTTCGCACCGGTCCAGGGTAGTGATCTCCTCTTGATTATTGACATCAAGTACTTGACAACTTGACACTCTTGCAACTTGATTGATTGAGTACAGCTATTAAACTTGACTTGAGAACTTGACTTGACGGGAAGTCAAACTTGATTGAGACTTGTCAAGTTCGAGCTTGATTGTTAGCCACACTGCATGCAGTAGGCAAGGGCTTCAAAGCCTTCGTCGAGATGACGTCGGAAAGCTCCTTCTTCCAAAGGATCTGTCCGCGCCATTAGGCGAACAGCACTCTCTTCCTGTCTTTCTTTCTGTTTTGTTTTTGTGTTTCTCCAATTCTGGTCGCGGTCGAGCGAAAGGCGTGCCAGCGCCCTTCACCCGACCGAGGCCCTCCGCTCTAGCTGCAAGACGCAGCTGGAGAGGAAACGCCTTCCCAGACTCATCGCAATTGATGAGCATAGACTGCGACAGAAAGTCGCTTGCAACTCCACATCCCGCTGACGGGTGCGAGGCTCCGACGAAAGAGCGCCTTTGAGCCGCTGAGATGCTAGATGGTGTTTGTTTTGAAATGAGGACGCGCTGAGGATGGTGGGGCGGCGGGAAATCGGCCGATGGCGCCTCAGGCAGCAAGCCGCCTGTGGCCGCTAACCTAGACAACAGGCATGAAACCAGCCGCCATACAACCCGATCCAGCAGCATCTTTGTACATTAGAATCAGCAGCCTAGCACGTCCTTTGCCCCAATAGGGGCTTTCAGCTATTACTGTAGCTCCCGGACGTTAAATAATTATCGTATCGTATCGTATCGTATCGTATCGTATCGTATCGTATCGTATCGTATCGTATCGTTCTCGGTATGCTCCCTGGCTTGGTGAATTGAATTGACCTGACTTTGCTGCGAGAGTTGATGTTTCGACAGCTCGGTTGGGTACATTGCCAACAACTCCTCCAAAGTGTTCTCGCTACAAAGCACGGTGATGGGGCGACGTTGATCGGCCACAGTACGCAGGAGGCGATGATTCGACAGCTTTGCGCTCCACTGGCATGCTTGATAGTCGTCCACTCGGGATCCCTTGTGTGGGCGAAGAAATTTAGGTTATCTCACCCGGAAACCGAAAGCGATTTCCTGCCATGGATGCTCCCCGCCTTGCTGCCGCTGTGCTCCTGCTGGACCCTGATCTCCCGGAGGACCCCGGATGCCGGGCGGCCCTTGAGGACTTGCGGGGCCTTGCACTCCAGCAAGGCCAATGTCACCTTGATGTCCTAGTCCTCCTTGAGGACCCGCCGGGCCGGGTGTGCCACGGGGGCCATCCTGTCCCGGGCGACCATCTATGCCATCCCGTCCGTCGATTCCGGGACGCCCATCCCGTCCGTCACGCCCATCGCGGCCCGGCCTTCCATCCCTTCCATCTTGTCCAGGATCACTCATGGGTCCCTGATCCCCCTGACAGCGCTGCTCCGCTGCATGCCCCTGCGGACCGGGGGCGCGGGTTCACCCCGAGGACCAGGAGGTCCAGGCGGTCCAGGTCTATCGCAGCAGCTGTGCTTGGTGTCACGACAGGGTTCGCACCTATTAATGCCCAACGAGCCTGATATAGACCCCTTGACATACTGGGTCACGCGACTCGGGCCACTGAGGGTTCGCGAGCCATGCGAATCCCAGCAGCTCCTACCACAAAGTGCACCAACGGTACTGTACTTCCTGGCGACAGTGCCATAGAGCAGCAGCTTAGACATCAGCACCGACAAGCACACTCAACAAAGCAAAAGCACCGTGCGGCGTGGCAATGTGTCTTAAGCCCCCAAAATTTCACGAGAGGCTGTTATTTACGATCCATATGAGAAGTCAATATGGTGAGCGACCATTCGAATGCTCTGTCTGCAAGGAAAGCTTCGCCCGGCAACACGATCGCATGCACCACGAAAGGCTACACGGTGAGAAAACCAAATCCACAAGCCGTAGCAGACCTGGGCATAATGAGCAACGGGCCTGGGGGCGCAGATTCTCTGGCGCAGACGCTCTTGCTCATTATTTTCCATACCATGTTAGCCTACATGGTCAGCGCTATGTGGGTGGTGACCCATGTTCTGTCCTTCTGTGGACGCCCCAGCCGACGACATCCTCCCACTCTCAGCCTGCCTGAGCGGCCCAGGTTGGTACGTTCCCTACCAGCGACAACGGCATAGATACACTTGATTGCTTGGAGTCTACCCCCCTCATCCGGCACTGTAACAAAGAGGGGGACTTGAGTACCATCTTTCTCGTTGGCGTACCCTCGCGTTGGGGCGTTGGTACGATGGCGCACACACCCTACGTGACACCGCCTCCAATCACGGCACCTTCCAGTACGCATGGCCCTGGCTTGGTTGCACTGCTCTCGTAAGCCGGACGCTGTGCTGGAGTGAGTGGTCGAGTATCAAGAAGGTGGTCCCAACAGTTGGCGCGCGCTCGTTGCCACAGGTCAAGGACTTCGTTAACCCGTTTGCATTGTTCCCACGACAGGTGCGAGAACGCCATGCACGGCTCAAGCCGGGTTGCAGATGTACTACTAGATCTGATGCTCTCCACAAAGGGCTTGTGGTTTGTTTTGTGAGAAATGAGACAGCGTGATCCGCAAGACCCAGTCAAGACGCAAGGCCCTTGAGCCTTTGGGCGCCAGGGAAGTTGAAACGGCCACGATGTTCTGTGAAAAGGTTTGTGGCCAACAGGATGTAGTAAAGCGAATTACACAACATCACACGCTGGCATTACTGCCACCCAAGCAGGCGAGAGGGATCGTGCTGACTGGAGGCAGCTGGCAGCTGTTTGGAACCCGCAAAGTGATCCGGAGAGTGATCAACCTTGGCGCCTGGACAGCGACGAGCGCTTTGCCGGATGGCACCGGCACCTCCTGGCACCGCGGGGGCTGTCGTGATGCCCGCTTCGGCTGATCCAGAGCTGCCGCCGCCAGGCGCTTGCCGTACAAGCGCCTGGCCCTGATACGTACGTTACTCAAACTTCTTGTTGAATCACAAGGCTTTTGGCGCGTATCCGTGTGGGTGGTCTCGCTGGGAATGATACCCTCCTTTTGGTCATCGATCGAAGCTGTCCTTGACGTGAGAGAACCTCTATCCGACGAGAGAGACACAGGTCATAGATGTGATTCGCAGTCATAATTATCTCTAGTGACGCGAGATGGGCTGGGCCATCTTGTCGATATTATCGGCGCAGGCCTCGGCACAGTAAACCTGGCACATGCCATGATCCTGTCCCGGAGCTCAGGAATCGTAATTCTATGTTCAGGATTGGGTGAAAATGAGTGCCAAAATGTCGGTTACTTCTGCAGTTAAGGGAGGACTGTCCGCAGGTAGTGCCGAGACTGGGCAAACATGCGGTATGCCGGGTCGTCGAAGGAAGCTTGCTTCCATGGGTTCCGTCCACATGTCAAGTTAATTAGGACGACGCCAAGTGACCACATATCGTGGGGTCCACACATATAATATGGCGTCCTGACTGTGGGAGCCAGACACTCTGTGGTTGCAATACACGTCGTCAGTTTTGTTTCACAGTTTTGGAGGGCACGTATGAACAAATAATACCTAGACTCATGTAGAAGGTGGAACCGCATCCATGATCCTCGGATCGGTTATCAGACGTAGCAAGACCAAAGTCTGCAAGCTTCAGACTATTTCCATGGTACGTCACCAGAATATTCTCTGGCTTGAGGTCTCGATGATAGAACCCGAGCGTATGGCAATTCTCCACGGCGTCCAGTAATTGGATGAAGATCTTCTTGCAAAGCTCGTCATTGCTGACAAACCTGCCCAACTCGGTCACGTTCTGGAACAGGTCACCTTCAGGACAATACTCCAACAACATGTAGAAGCAGTCAGTATCGTCGAGGACCTTGACCAGCGGCACGATGTTGGGATGTGCGGATGCCAAGGCATGTAGTTGGACTTCGCGTCGGTGCCAGGCGATTTGTCGATCCTGCAAGGGCTCCCCTTCGGCGCTGGACTTGCTGACGTGCTTGACAGCGCAACGCACGCCGCACCTGACATCAACGGCCAAGTGGACGACACCGTACGCTCCGATTCCCAATACCTCTGTCAGTTGGAGGTTGCCTTCGAGGTCTCTTCCTAACCTCTTGTATGAAGAGCGTCTTCTCTCGCCGGGTGCCGTTGCCAAGGTCGTCGCGGTGCTGCATGCAATGTCGGCATCGTCGAGCGAGACAGGAGGTGTAGGATACCCCAGAGGGTCAGAATGCTGCAGGTTTTCTGAAGACGCAAGTAGAGATATCCGAAGTCACCGAGAATGGCTTCCAGGCTTGGAAGCAGAGTACTTTGGACAGCGCCAATCCGAACAGCTAAATACAGCGGCGGAGTCACACAGTCTTGGTGAAGGAAGGGATGCCCATGTATCAGTCGCCGAAGTGAACTTATCTCAACTTTCTGACCCGTGCACCGAGTGGTCCAAAGCCTCCAGCGAAAGGGTGTTGCCAATGGCCTGGGGCGTTTCGGCCGCGAGTCTGTGGCTTCGTAGGAGATACATGAATACATCGGCTGTCGTCCGTGCCATCGCAAAAACTTGCGTCCCATCACTCGTGCCGGATAGTTTATTCAGCCGCCTTGGCTGGCCACACAACAGGTCAACTTCTGCTGCATGGGCATGTCGTTCGAACCAGCAGCATTAAGTGCTCCAACCAGACGGGGACATCTGGACGCGGGGGTACACACTATCGGCATACCGCCGTGCCGTTTCCCCCATGTGCATGTGTACGCCGCCCGGGCTGTCCCGCGGTTCGCTCCGCCGTGCATGCACCACAGCACCGCTTGAATCTGCGCAGTTATGAAGGGAGGCGCTCTACTGACTGCCGCGTAGCAAAAGGGAGAGGCAGCCGCCCCCCCGCGACGTCTTGCCCACATGAACCTCTCCAGCCACGAAGCTCGTTCCCATGCATCATAGCCATAAGATGTAGACACAGATGCAGTTGGCAGTTGACATGCAATCGAGGAAGAGTCATAGATATGCCCCAGCCCTTCCCGCCGGTCCCTGTGTGTCGTGGCAAGGCCTTAATCACGGCCAAGATTGCTATGAAAAGCTTAAGGGACAGGCCTGTACCAAGCCCCCTTGAGACATATACGCGTACACTGGGCCGGCGTGCGATTCCAAGGAATTTTGCAGTTCCCCCATGGGGATACGTACCATCCTCGTGCGGGTTTTCGAACTTGAAGAGCGGAAAAGCATAGTCAACAAGGACGGCAAGAATGGGTATGCATCCAGAACACACGCCTTCCGTCCAATACAGAACGCAAGAGACCATAAATTCGTGAGATAAGGTATACATTTCTATTCGGTGGGAAGCCGCGCACCAAAGAGCGGAGTGCGGGCGCGAGAGCTCGTTCCCGTCTATGTTGAGAGTGAAATAGACATGAAAAGCTTTGAAGCATGATTCCCTGCCGCACCTTACAGAGCAAACACCTGGAATGCGACCATGGCGATCAGGCCGCTCAGGCTGATGGCCAGTGTGGAGGCGCCGGCTTGGACGGGGTTGCTGGGCACGGCCGAGAGGCCGCCGGGGGTGGAGAGGGGAACCGCGGTGGTGGCCCAGCTCAGTGTGGGCAAGGCCACGCCGGACGAGACGCCGGGGCAGCCGGGGCCGGAGCAGCTCGGCTTGGGCGTCACGCCGGTGGTCTGATTGGCGGAAATGGTGACCGTCTCGGTGATGGTGGACGTGGTGGAGGTGCTTTCCACCGGGGGCGGGTTGACGCCGCCGGGCACGCTGGGAGTGCGCTGCGGCACCTTGCCTCTCTCCGTCTCCGTGACGGGGCAGATAGTCGTGTACCACGGGATGGTCTCGGTGGTGACACGGCCGAGGCAGTTGGTGACCTGGGGCGGGCAGGCCGTCGCGGTGTGGACCTTGGTGGTGTAGACGGTGCTCGTGGTCCACGCCGCCGAGGTCTTGGTCTGAGACGGCTTGGGCAGCTTGGGCGTCTCCGTGATGGGGCAGACGGTGGTGTAGAGCGGGATCGTCTCAGTCGTGACATAGCCGCCGGTGGGACAGTTGGTCACGTAGGGAAGACACTTGGTCACGGTGTGCACCGACGTGGTGTAGACCGTGCTCGTCGTCATGGAGACAGTGCCCGAGGTGATGGTCGAGTTGGACCACTTGGTCGCGCTGGACACGATGCTGGTCACCGGCGTGGAGGTCGGGACGGAAGGAGAAGTGGTAACGTCCGCGGTGATGACGGAGGTGGCCTTGGCGGTGCTGGAGGTGGCCTTGGTAGAGCTGCTAGACGACGCCTTGGTGCTGCTAGAGCTGGACTCGGTGGCGCTGCGAACAGTGGTGGAGCTGGCCACAGAAATGCTGCTGGCGGTCGAGATAAGCTTGGAGGTGCTGCTGGTGGTCGAGCTAGGCGTCGTGGAGCTGCTGGCTGTCGTCGAGCTGGCCTTGGAGATGCTGCTCACGGAGGTGCTGCTGGTCAAGCTGGACGTGGTGGAGCTGGCCTTGGTCGTGCTGCTGGTAGTCGTCGAGCTACTCTTGGTGGTCGAGCTAGACGAAGTCTTGGTAGACGAGACGGTCGTGCTGGTGGTCGTGGGAACAGGTCCGCAGCCGTACTTGAGAGCTTCGGCAACGTGCTGGCTGTAGTCCTTGCCCCCGATGATATTGGCGGCCGCGGTATCCAGATCCCAAATTGAGATACCACCCCAGTGCGGCGTTCTGGTGCTGTACTTGCACACCAGGTCCTTAACTTGGTCAGGCGTTATGTAACCAGAAGTAGCGGAGTCCGACGTCGGGCCGCCAGGAAGGCCGACATAGAGCTTCGCAGTTTGGCTCTTTCTGCTCTTCGCCATAAAGGTGACCCATTCGTCAAGGTTGAACTTATCGCCTTTCCCATCGGTGACGTAGTCACAGACGGGGTTGTTGTAGAACTGAATAAAGAGCGCGTCCAAAGATGTCTCCTTGAGGATATCCATCATATCGTTAGGGGTCGTGGACAAGGGGCATTGCGGGGCAGCGGTGATAATGAGAGACTTGTCCAGGGTTCGAAGCTTGTTAATCATAGCGATGTAGGGCTTGTTATCTATACGTATACAGTTTAGCATCCGGAATGACCATGAGTGATCTAGTTTACCCTACCGAGGTCGATTTCAAGATCAAAGTCGAAGCCGTCAACTGCCACGTGCTGGTTGTCGGAGTCGAAGGGCCGGGCGACATTGGCCGCCGGGTTGTAGGGACCAAAGATCTGGTACACTTTCTCGGCAAACTGTTCGCCCTTGGTTGTTGACGAGACCCTGTAATTGTTCTTGAAACTGTACATGCCACCGATACTGAGAATGACCTTGACACCTTTGGACTGGCAATATGGGATATCGGTCTTCAGGCTCTGGCAATGGCTGTAAAGAGGCGAAGCGACGTGGTTCGCGTCCGTAAAGGCCTCTGCCCAGCAGTGTGAGGAAAAGTTGATACCGGGATATTCGAGTGTGGACGGGTCATGCTCAGGGGCCGAGTTGATGAAGCCGAGGGTAATAGAGCTGATTCCACCATCACAGTAGGCTCGCAGTGCGTGGTTCGACTTTTGACCCTACGACTGCGTTAACGTGGACCCTCAGTATATCCTCAATCAACAGGATGGCTTACCCAGTAACCATTGAGCGCACCCAATGCGCCAATACTCGCCCCAGCTAGGCCACGTACAGAGAGAGCCATGATGGCGAATGGCTCGCCAAGATGGTCAAACAAAGTTTGGAAGCTGGCGCAGCCGAAACGAGTGTAGTCACGACAATGAGGTAAAGGAATGGACGCAACACAAAAGTTGCAGGCTGTAGCCGAGATGTTTGGCCGTGGCTGGACAGAGAGGCGTACTTCATGTAGAAAAGGGCAGCATGCGCTACAGCGCGTCCGACCTTAGGAGCTCGAATCACTTCCGCATGTCGGGTCGCGATGGGGCTTCGTGGAGTATGCATGTGTTGTCTGCCCAACCGGGAAAGTGGGCCATAGTCATGGTCTAATAACGCCCCCATCGTGGCCTTGTTTGATGCAGTACAAGCGGAACGAATCGAACAAAAAGCCCATGCTTGAGTCACCAACTAAACGAGTATAAGCAGGAGACGTCGGTAGTAACGCCCCGCGGTTCAGTTGGAAGCGCGCTTGGCGGCCGGCGCCGCAAATGCGGCCACAGAAGCGGTCACAATATGACCCACCTGAAATCCCACTATCGAGCGGTGCAGTAGGAGTGTAACAGCGCAATCTCGGCGCTTCCTCTATGTTATATAGACTGTAAGTAGTCGGGCAGCGGCCGAGTGCTGGAACAGTGTCTGCACATGCTGCCGGGGTGTGGGCTTGTTGGCACTTCAGGTGCCTTGAAATCCACACCGGATGCTACGCTTGAGCCCCATTCCTTGACTCACGGTGCACAGTCTGGGCTTCGGTAGTGTCAACCCAATCAACTCTGGCAACCTTACAGTCGCAACTTCATCATGCTCGGCCCACATTTTCCGCCGATTGGAACACGGAGTTCGCGTGGAGAGCTAGCGTCCAAAAGGCACACGGCGTTATTCAGTCTGTTACCTCAAGCCGCATCAGAAATGTCTCCGACCCCAATGCCCATTACACCTTCTGCAATCCACCTGCTACTCCCACGGCAAGTAGCTGCTGTGGTAATTGTTTGCCACCAGAGACGAGGCGCCTTGCTGCGGATGGTTCATGCCAGTGGCCCAAAGGGGGCCACTGAACTGATGGGCATCAGAGCTACAGTCCAATGCCCAATGCTTGGTCAACTCCCCGGGGCGGTCCACCAGGTCCTCATCATGAAATAACAGCTCTTACGGCAGATCGTGCCCGCTGCGAGAATCGAGCCTCAACAGGAGCTCGTACAAAGACGCGTTCGTAAAAGCGGCGCAATAGCGGTGTAATCACGCAACCAGATTCTCAACTTGCCGGAAAGTCCTCCAGGCGTGAAGCGTTGCTTGGGGACCCACCTCGCCAAAAACCATTGTCGACACAAGACATGTTCCCTCACACACCTTATGTATGAAGCAGATCCCATCTCCACAATCTTCGATCGTCTTCCCGTCGGCTCTGTCCTCCTCGGTCGAACGGAATTTATTTCCGTTCGGCCTCCATGGGAGTGATGGTCTTGACAGTTGGACTGCTGGCCAGAGACTGATGTACCATTTCCGGCTGCAAAAGCACTGCTTGGGTGGAGGGTCGCTGGCGTGGTGGATGACTCCGTGGGTGCCTCGCGTTTTAGAAAGGTAGAAAGAAGTATAAAGCCGAGGTTGAGGAGAAACAGGAGCTTTGGGCCTTTATGCATCATGCGAGGCGGCTCGACCACTTTGGATGTCTGTCCAATCTTCTGGACGTCCAGGTGTGGCTGACAACGCCAACACATTCCGCGTCATCGCTCTGCTTTGATTCACTCCCTCGTGTAAAGAGACGACAGTTGGGAGAAGCGCTCGCGCCCGGGCTGGTGACGACATTCGCTGAAGAGCCCTGTCGCATGGCATTGATATATAGACAGTTCCTGAGCAGTAGACCCCCCTCTCTATCGACAACGAAATACCGTTGGTTTTGACTGTAGCGATTGATGTAAAATCGGTATCTATATCGAGTTAATTAAGACTGGCTTTTGAGACAGAGGGGCAGAAGCTAGGTTGCGTGCATGTACGTTCACCACACAGGGGGCAGTGCTCTGGTCTACGTGAATGAGGGGCTTCGTATTGCCAAACCCAGCCTTGCACAGTCGAGATCCCAGAGCGGTGCAGATTCTGTAAACCGTGGTGCCGTCTTCCGTCCAATATTTTATAGCTGGAATTATACTCTGCTATTACCACGCAAAAGCGCTGGTCAGGGACCCTGTTCTTCTCAGCGAGTTTCCAACCTCGACCAAATGGCGCTCATTCGTGACAACCTTGCCCAATGAGGCAATCTATATGGAACGATGAACCTTCGATATACTTGGTACTCGTAGTCTCCCCGATTGTGATGTTCACATCATACACCCAGACGTCTAGCTGCCTCAAGCCCCCATACATCGAGAAGATTCCCGCCCTAAGGGTACCCGGACCGGGAGCAATTAGCGGGTTGATGGTGATACTTTTATTGAATGGCCCATTGGGAATGTCTAGTAGGTACAATCATTAGTATGTACTGGAATGGAGACTCTGACCAACCCACCCGTGAGCGCGATATATGCTTGGTCTATGCCAATGTTGTTTCGCTGAAGTTGCGAGCCAGGGTCGAATCCGATAACCATCGCTATGTCATACTGGCCTGGTGAATCATTATTCACAATTGTCATGTCCACTGCGTCGCCAGGCTTGATAACTTCGGGCACTGCAATTGACTGGACCGACGCATGAGCTGACACGAAAAGAAGCGGCAAAGCTGCCGCAAAGGTCCACATGATGTACGGACTGTAATAGTGAGCTTGAAAGAAGAGTCACGTCAAATTGTTGAAAACAAGAGAAGTGTTGACGCGCAGGAAAAGGGTTGCCGTCTAAGGGCTTTTATAGCCTTTCCCTATATCAAGTCGTTACCAGCCTTCGTCATCATGCATTAGTGAGCCCAGGGCTTTTGCAATGGCTCCTTACTTTCATTCGCTTGTGACGAACTTTTAAAGGCTCCGCTAGATGGAAAATCGTACTTGACAGGAGCGTAGCATTTTCGCGGCTGACACTGCGCGTAACTCCAAAGGTATATTGCGTGTAGGAAAGATCCATAGACGAGTCATGCAATAGGAGATTCGTTGTGAGATAATGAAAGGCTACGGGGCTATGAAAATACCGCAAGTTCCAATCGTGCCGCAAGGTCTTTCAGTTGCTTCTGTCCCGCGCACAGTAACATTGTAGGTGGCACCTGACGATCACTTGCAGGTCCTTTCAAGGATTTTTAGACCACCAGACGGTTTATTGCGGGTCAAGAGCTCGTTTGTTACTTTGGATACAACATGACGGCCTCGGTCGAGAGCAGGAACAGAATTGCAGCAAACATGTGATCCTCCACAGCGAAATGTTGCATGTTGAACACGGCTGCCTGTCAAATACACAAACCAATGACATGGATTGGAGCGACTCAACTACGTGGAGGAAATGAAGTTCTGACTACCACCGAGGTAAATAGCCAGTGGACCAACGAGCGTGTGTTCGGCGACTTGAGCGCCGCACCCTCGCTGCCCTAGTGCCATTGACACCGAAGTTGAACACTTTTGATCGGGGGTTTCCGGTGATATATCATTGAGATAAAGCCTCTAAATGAAATGTATTCCACTCGCGTGGCTGGCAAGCACCGGGCTGCCAATCATTTCACAATTGATTTACTGTGGCACTCTCAAGTGCAGGTTTGCATGCTCGCGATATGAACAATGGATGCCAGAAAGTTACGCAAAGTAAGAAAGAAGCGTTGGCAGGTCTAGCAATTCAAACGCAGATGTGAAAGTACGTCAAGACGTCTCGCCATCGTGCCGTGATTCTTGAGGAGCCGGTAAATTCGCCGATTGGTTTCTTTCGCCTGCACCCCCGAGTATGGCGGGCTTTCATAAACCCTGTCGTCGCCTCGACAGTTCACTTTAGTGAGCACAATCCCAAGCAAGTATCTCGAAATATGACGCAACAAGGCTCCTTGGCTGAGGACGCTTCAAAATACAAATTGTCGAAGCGCACAAGGTCAGTTTCAGCAGCTTCCCAGTGCCCATGAGCGATTTCGCGTGCTTCACCCGCTATGTGCCTACACATACAAAGACATTTGCTTGCAGACCAGAGCAATCTGTCCTGACAGCAGGATTCCATAGATAGAAGTTCTCAACGGTAATACCTTTGTCGTGGGCAATATCATAGCATCCATCTCCTGTTTGTACCTTATAGAAAATCTTGCAGCCTTTGACCATACCTTCTTGTATAGGTGTTGGTGTAGCAGCAGCGGTGGCAGGCGTCGTAGGAGTCGTTGTTTGGCTTGACTGAGCGCTGATACAGACATAGTAGCCTGGCTGCAGCGCTGAGCAGCCAGATCCCACGGCAGGGTTCCATGAGTAGAACTGACTCAGTTCGATTTTGGCATCGTTAGCGATCTTCCAGCATCCGTCTCCTGGTTGGACTTTGTAGAATCCATCACAATGGCTTGTCATCCCGTCTTGGGTGGGAGTTGGCGTCGTAATGCCGCCTTTAGGCACAGTGCTGGTAAAAGTGGGCGAGACAGTACCCGTTGAAGCGCCAATACAGACATACACATCGGCTTGAAGGCCAGTACAATCTGCGCGTACAGCTGGATTCCAGGCATAGAAGGAGGATAGCGGAACATTGTTGCTGTTGGCGATGTCGTAGCAACTATCACCCTGTTGGACCTTGTAGAATCGGGTGCATGAGGAGGAGATGCCTGTCTGTATTGGGGATGGCGTGACAACATTGCTTCCAGTGCTCGTTGCCGTAACCGATATGGTAGTATCGTCTTCGTCATCCTCCGGCGGGTACTGGGGGTTTGAGACACAGTAATATGTACCCAGTATAAGTTTTGCACACTCTTTTCCAACGGAAGGATTTAGGGCGTAAAATTCTTCATGTGTTAGATGATAGAGATTGCAGAACCACTCGCAGGAAGAGAATTTTCTGGCGGCGACCCAGGATTTACAGTCGGCAGCTTCTCCAGCCGCGCGTGGACTCGGAGGAACCGTGGATCCTGTTGGAACTATGGAAAACAATATATCAGTAACGAGAAAGTGTTCAGGTCTGAGGCAAGAAAACTCACCAGCTGTAGGTGATACTAATGCCACACAATACGAGCTATTAGCCGCTACAGTGCAAGGATAGTTGTAGTCCGCAGTCGTAGTGCTTGTCGCAAAAGGATTGATTGACGCGACTTGGACTGCCAATGCTGAGGCTGTGGCGCTTGTTGTAGTTTTGTTAACTTTTCCAAGTGACGGGTTCCATAAGATTAGTTCCTAATCGTCTATTAGGCCCGCTTTACATGCAACACGTATGATCGCCGCCGAGTCAAGGAGATAAAGACATACCTCCGGTGTGACACCATAAGCAAATGCCAAGTTCCAACAATCCGCTGCGAGATTGTCCGTCAGGTTCTGAACTACAAAATAACTACCAGGTTGTAAGTCAGGAGAAACATGATTCAGTGATGGTTCCAGACTCACGAATAACAATCCAAGCGAGTCTTATTCGCAAGAGGAATCACCTCGGCGCTGGAAGTCAAATTTTCAAACGGTTTGCCCGCATAGGGGATCGCCGTCGCGGGTGTCTGGATAAAAGGCTTGGTCGCTGGCGCGCCATATCCCGGATACGTGGAGATGTACCCGACTGGCTTGACGCAGTAATATACATCCTTTTGTAAGTTGGTGCAGTTTGTCCGGAGGTCGGTGTTCAGGAAAAGACTTTCATCTAGATCAGCCATCCGCTATTGGCGGCTACCCATTCCATTGTGCTCACAAGTCTTTCAGGGTAATATCAAATTCTAGCGTAACGGCAGCGCAAGTGTCACCAGCTAGGATCTTGTAGTATTGTGCACAAGTAGACGCCGTACCCGCCAATGTTGGGGAAGGAACCAAGCTACATGGGGTCGTTAGATTCGCTGCTGTCGGTTTTCGTTGGAAATTGAACTCGAAAAACTCACGCCGTAGTTGTTGCAATACTCGTTTGGCCATGCGTGTTGGAAGAGATAATATAGCTACCGTTTGCAACGGGATTGCTGATACAGAGGTGGCCACCATCGAGAGCATTCAGATTACTTTGAACGTCGTTAGCTCTGTCTAGCCACTGACTTCCGTACACATACGAGCATTGCGGATTCAAACTGGGGTTCCAGGATAAGAGCTGCGCGTATGTAACTTTACTCTTGCTGCAGATGGCCAAGCATGTGTCATTGGACAAAACATTGTACTGGCGGCAGACCGGCGCAATGTTGCTGGCTGGCCCTGCAACGTCCCTTTTAGAAACGGTCGGCCATCGTAAGGCTAGAAGGGCGATGAGAAATGATTTCATCATAGCTGTCGCACCAGCTTTGCAGAGACTGAAGATTGAGATCAAGCCGGTGAGAGGCCGCGAATATAACGCGATGTCTCCAAGCGTCTTCCAGACAAGCACATGGCACGCATGGGGCGTGTGCTGAAGACTACAAAAACAGGCAAGGCCACCCGATGCAACATCCGATGGGGGAGTGATCCTGCAAATTGTCGAACCTCGGTCCTTTCATCGGCCGTCTCGGGAATGGACCGAGTGCTACATACATGACTCGACGATTACATGCAGTCTGTCTGCCCTGCATTAGCGACAAGCCAGGCTCATTTCTGCCACAGTTGAATCCCTGCTCCTTCGGCACAACCCGTGCCGACCCCTGAGTTAGCGCCCGCGTTAGTGCAGATCTTCAGGGTATTCCCGCCTGGAATGACGACCGAGATGGATTACAAAAAACAGCGCAAACGATCCAGTCCACCATCACTTTATCCGAGCAAGGCCGAAGGAGACGCCCCAGCCCGAGGTCCTCCCTGGCCAAATTTGTGACCTTCAAGGGACACTGCAGCTGCCGGTTATCAACAACCCGAGGTCTATGAGGTGCCCAACAGTCTCGGGTCTTGCCCATGTCTCATTACTTCCATATTATTTATGTCCGCGCGCCCATGAAGTCGAATACACCCAGTGCCGGATAGGACCTTTCACATTCCCAAATTTCAACATGACGAACTTTCAGGGATGGCGAACGCCCTCCTCGATTTTTCTACTCTGTTTTGCCTTTCTTTGTCTATTCGGTACTCAGCACGGTCCAATGCCAGTCGGCGCCCATTCTCATGGCCACTCTCATCGACATTTGGTACACCGTGGCAGTGAGAAGCAGAGTGGCGTATCTACGGCGCTATCACTTCGCGACTCTCCTCTAACGGCTGGTGTAGGGGGCCAAGGCGACTATACATGCGGTCCTGATAGACCGTGTTATAACGGCGCATGCTGTGGCGAAGGGGGTTGGTGTGGTTACAGCCCGAAGTATTGCGGTACTGGTTGCCAGTCCAACTGTGATGCTAAGGCTGAATGCGGCGAATATGCGGCAACAGTTGGTGCATCTTGTCCCCTGAACGTGTGCTGTTCGGAGTTCGGCTTTTGTGGTACCACTTCAGAATTCTGCAATGCTGGTTGTCAATCCAATTGCAAGCAACCAAAACCGTCAGGGCCTCCTTCGAACGTCCAGAAAAGGGTTATTGGTTATTGGGAGGCATGGAATATGCAGCATCCTTGCGGTAACATGAACATTGGCCAAATTCCAGTGAACATGCTTACACACCTCAACGTCGCTTTCGCGTACATTACCCAGGATTTCGCCATCACAAACATGGATGGAGTTTCATTGGAGACATACAGGAACATTGGCAACCTCAAGTCAAGAAACCCTAATCTGAAAATCGTCATCTCCCTTGGTGGCTGGGCATTCAGCGACCCGGGGTCGTGGCGCAATGTATTTCCAACCATGGTTTCTTCCAAAGAAAATCGCGCTGCGTTCATCCAAAATTTGCTGGGCTTTCTTTCAGAGTACGGCTATGACGGCGTTGGTGAGCTTGCCAGACCGCTACTCATTCCATGATCAGAGACTAACACGCGTTCAGATTTGGGTAAGCAAGGCGATTGCGGTGCCAAATACTGATCCAACCAAGGCTTTACTCAGACTCTCGAGGCACAGAGAGGCAGAGTTGTGTGATCATGCTAACTGGTTGCCAGATTGGGAATACCCTGGCGCTGAAGACCGTGGGGGTTCTAAGACCGACGCGAATAACTACGTGGCTCTTCTCAAGGAGCTGCGAGAGGCTATTAATCGCAGTGGTCGTAGTTACATTGTGACTTTCACGGCTCCAACTTCTTATTGGTATCTCCGTAACTTCGACATCAAGGGTATGGAGCCTTACGTGGACTGGATTAATGTCATGTCATATGATCTGCATGGTGTCTGGGACAAATCTAATCCTATTGGAAACCATGTTCTCGCCCACACCAATTTGACAGAGATCAGCTTGGCATTTGATCTGGTTGGTTGCTCCCATGCCAGAAAACCTGTTTATATAACGTAACCGGTATTAACGTTGACTAGTTTTGGAGAGCGGAAGTTGCACCATCGAACCTAGTACTGGGCCTTGCATTTTACGGAAGAACATTTAAACTTGAGTCTTCGGCTTGCTGGAGGCCAGGATGCCTATTCAGTGGCCCAGGTGACGCTGGGCAATGCACCGGCACACCCGGCATTCTCTCGTATCGAGGTAAAGCACGCAGAACGCTATGAATTATTACAGACAAGGATCTTACAAGGTAATACAGAAATACAAGACCTTCTCCGCAAAACCGGAGCGGACTCGTATTTGGACGAAGAGGCTGCCGTCAGATATCTTGTGTATGGCGAAGGCAGCTGGATCTCGTGAGTTTAGTGGTATGGAGGTGCAAATGAAGGCTAATGGTCTCTTAGCTTTGACGACGACGTTACCTTCCAGGCAAAGATAGACTGGGCTAACGAACTCGGGCTCTCTGGGCTTATGATTTGGGCCGTGGATCTCGACGACAGCAAACTCACAGCACTGCGGGCTGTGACGAATTCAGAAGCGCAAGATGAAATACCATTCTCTCTTGTCGACCTCAAATACCTTTTTCCGAAGGAGGATCTCCCTGCACCGGACACAAAGCCTAGCTATGGCCTCATCACGTTCGGCAGTGCCGGGGACATGAGTGATCCCAGCCCAGGGTCAGGTCCATTCGGCTTTTTGCTGATTGCGAGCGACTCACACGCGATTACAAGTCTACGTCGTAGAGCCGGTGAGTCTGAACCGCTCACTTTTCTCGACTGTCCGTCAGAAGTGCAGAATCAACCGAAAACCAAGGTTCAGAAAGCAAGAGTCGCTTGTTTTAGCCAGAACCTTAAAGGATGCTTTGGCATCGTGGAAAATGGCGTCAAAGGAACAATCGTTGAAATGCCAGATAATGTGGGTTCTATTTCATTCCGTTCTCTGCTTTGGGTGCTTCTGCTGACTGGATTGCAGTGCGGGAAAAATTCGTTTGCCCGGGCGATCTCCTTGGAGCTCTCTGCGGACCAGTATATCCCGGCGGAATATTCAGCACAAGGTTTGACTTCGGCTGTCTACGACTTTACATTTGATCGGAATCTAGGACTTATGAGACGGGATACAAACAACACCCGAATTCGATTGGACTACTCCAACGCTCAGAATTATTGGGATGCCATTGTCGACTCGCCTGGAATCCAATCACGCCATGTGGGAACACTGGAAGAGCGTTTCTTTGCTCCTGACAAGGCAGAATGGACGAAAAAGGGTTTAGACTTCGAGTTCGACACCAGCAATGGCGAGACGATCCAAAAAGATATAGGCACCCCGCTCTTTTGGCAAACGGTAGATGACTGCGACGTCTCGGGTTCCGAGTTTAGCGAGGGCGTTGGCGTCTATGTCGACGGAACCATTGACGCAAAACTCTTTTACGGTTTCTCTTTGATTGTTCGTGCGCTTTCTCCAGAAGCGCTCAACAACTAGAATGAGCAAAATGAGCGCATTTCCGGACACTGCTAACTCTTATCAGGCGAATCTCCGAGATCGTGAACTGGGAGGATACGAGTTGGACGTAACTGAGGCCCACGGTTTCCTCAAAACGACTGGCCAAACAGACCTAACATACGGCATTGGAGGCGTTGGTAACATTGACATCTCCCGCGCGGGCAAGGGCAATCCAGCTTTCTACGAGCAACCAGAGGTACATGTCGGCGGTATGGGTCAGATCTCACCTGGAGCCTCGGTTTGGGTCACGCCGTACTACAAAGTGATCTATCAACTGGCCACCATCAATGGATCAACCGGTGGTCCCAGTCTACAAACAGGAGCGGCTCAATTTAATGGCCGAATGAGCTCCCGCGTCATTACCGATCTCGGAAACTTCCAAGTCAATTTCCCGACGGACAAGGAACCACCGCAGGAAATGTATAATGATAAGCGCCACAAAAATCGAATCGCCATACCTGGCGATAACGTCCTGTACGGAAGCTCTGCTGTCGGGGGGCAAGTGGCAATCGGTACATTTGTCAATTTCGGCCTTAAGATCGACATCTCGTTCTTTGGTGTGCCAGTACCAGATCCCAAAGTAAGTTTGCTTTTCTCTCCCGGTTAATTGTCTAATTGATTTCATTTAGCTTGAGGTTATCTATAATACTATGGGGAAATTTGCATTTTATCCTGGTGATGGTGAGCACGGCGAGGTCTGTGCCGACTACGATATCATGCAAGTTCCACCACCGAGCACCGACTGCGTCTAACTGTAGCACGATTTAACTGACCGCGCAATAAAGCACCGATATTTCCCAATCAATAGAAAATGCGTTAGTCTTTGCAACGCCGTTATTGCAATCTACTTTCCCCATTGTTCCCTCTCATAAAGTTTCGGGACAGTGGCGCTGACGTGTCGTCGATTTCATAGAGACGTCCTTGGATGGGAACAGCCGACTTACTGGCCAACACTTGCGGCTGACGAGGTGGGTACTTTCTAATCCTTCTTGTTATTTCAGCTTACATGAAATAGCAAGTCCCAAGTGACGGGAAGGTTTGCTATAAAGCCTCTAAGAACCCCGCCAAAAGAAGTTCGGGTCTGAGCCGCCAAAATCACCACGGATACAGCGACAGCATTTTCAATGACACATCACCCACAAATTCTGTCAAGGCTGGACCATTTCGTGACAGACTCGAATCTCGGCAAACCGATGGGTCTCCAGTATTCCCCGGCTGGGGTTACGATATAGACAAGGCCGTGCAGCCCAGCACCTACTTTGGTACAGGAAATGGCCTCGGTGCTTTTGACGGCCTCAATCCGAAGTTCTCATGTAGTGACTGCATCGGATGCGATTTGCAACAACCGCATCCTTGCTGCGGTTGCGTCTGCATGGACTGTCGTTGGGGCACCAGCGACATCCCAGGTGGAACTCTCCACACTGGTTGGCCGGGTTCAGCTTTGATGTCGAAAAGACAAGAGATCGACGCCGTCGAGCATTTGCACAACGATTCACTGAACCATCTCTTTCACCGCGGGCCGGGCGTGGCCACCATGTCGCCCAAGAAGCTGAGAGTTTGCGAGGTAGATTATGAGCCTCATTCCCCATATAGATACCCATCCTTCCCGCAGGATGCGAGCTGGCCCTGGGAAAATATCCAAAGGAACAAGTGGGACCCCATATCTCGTTATTGGGGTAACTCGTCCTCCGCCTGCCAAAATTGGGGTGTTAGCAACTCAAACCCCGCCGACACCCGTTTTGTTCAAGACTCTTTAGGTGTCGTTCATCAAGTTCGCGCCGATTATGAAAGTGAGTGGCATAGCAATAGTGATGACAGCCTGAACAGATTACTTACGTGAATCTTCCAGCTGAACACGTCTTCGAAGGCCAGTTGATATCTGACTTCTTCGACAAATGGCTTGATGAAGGCGCAATCCGCAATCAAAGACCAATACCCTCGAATAAATCGCCCAAAATTCCCTGTTCCTGGAGCGAGACATGGGTTACAGACGTCGGGTCACCGGCATGGCCCTGGCAGTTACGAGGCAGGAATGAGCCCACGCTAATAGCGGTACTGGCGGCCGAACTAGGCTGCCTGGACAAACTGGATCGGCTTTCTATTCTTTTGAAAAGACCAAACATGAAGAAGGGTAATGTATGTACAGTTGTGTCCCAGTTACGGAGAGAATTCTGCTAAGGGGCCATTTTTAGCTGTTTACCGGCATTAATACAGTCGACCCAGCAATGTATAGCACGATGAATGAGGATGAGCAACTTCAAGAAGTCAAGGAGTTAGGTGAGAGAGAGCAACTGTGCCTCACGTTCATCTTAACATAACTGGCGGGCACCCACTAAAACTGCGAATAGGGTTGATTTTCAACTATATGAACTCCCAGGCAATCTGGGACAAATTTTGTCTCTCTTACGAAGGCATTTATGATAGACTTGGCGAGTTTGACACCTGGTACTCACTGCATGGTCAAGGAGTAGCGGTTCCGAGTCTGCAAAGCGAATGGAAGAAATACATTCGTGTTGTTCTAGACTCGGCGGTCCTACGATCGCGAGCAGAGTTTGACCTAATGTATTCGAACAGGCGGTATGCGCGTCAATCACCTCTCCACGATGTACACGAGCTTACATGTTATCACAGAAACTCATTCCTCCTCAGCGGACTTTACTATAGAGGGATATGGTTTTACAACTATTATTGGAACAGACGTTCCATTAGAATATCCCGACAGTGCCAGCACATGGATGCTTCCGTTGTGTGAGCCTATTAATAAAGGGGAACGGTATTTAGGGTTCATCTTTGTGCATTTACAGTGAAACCTGCCTTCCATGTAAGGACAGAGCAAAAATGAATGACTTGCCCGGCGATTTACGTATGAATAGACTTGACCAATGACACGAGTCCCACGGTGCTCTAGTTGGAGGAACGAATGTCAATAGTCAGTCAAGACGCCGAGCATTACTCACGGCTCACTACGACGCTTCACATTGGCATTGCATGCTCCGTCAACAAAGTCATGATAATGTACATCCGCATTCTCATCCCTGACGACGATGCATGTCTGGAGGTCCGCATCCCGCAACTGACAGGCGTTATCTTATCACAAGCTCGCACATATCTACCAGTTCTATCATTCACCGCAGATGGTAGAGACGCTGCTTCTGCATTGTAAGATATGCATTCCAATGCCTCAGTCTGTTCTAATGCCTAGCTGAGGCATCGGAATAACAACCAGCTTAAAATCGAGAGGAAACAGACACAGCCTGATATTGAAAGTTGCCGGGCAGAACGTGTGGAGTTATGACGATGTTGAGCGAGCGACTGACTCTCCTGTATGACCTGCTCGGACGGGAACCCGAGATCTTCCCGAGCATAATCCTGCGTCATGTTTTTATCCAGGTCCTTGTAGATGCCCAAGCGCCGATAATCTTCGGATGATACCCATGGCCGTTCATAGGCTGGTTCGAAGGCATCCCGAAGCGTTCCGTAGCCCAAACGCACGGTATCTGCAGAGTCATTGTCGGAACCAAAAGGATTTTCGCCCTCGCCGTATAGGAAATCCGTGACTTCCGATTCAAGCCAGTGGGCTCTCGCCAAAGCGGGAAGCCCTGACATAACGTGGGTTGCGATCCTCACCTTCGGTGGATTCTCCCAAGACTGCCATCCCAGCGTGTCACGCATGTCTCGAAGAAGATCACGATGATTGCCGCGTCCATGCAGGAAATGTAAAAATCCAAGCTCAACGGACTTGATACTCACTGGTAACGCCGCAAGAAGGCTTCTCAAATCGGATTGCTCGACGAGGAAATTCCAGAGCCCAAAGTGCTCTAACCGTTTTAATTGGTTTACCGGGAAAATGATTTGCAACGGTAGGAGCTGAACTTCGTCATCGAGCCAGGGATCGCTCTCGATGTCTGTAGCCAACGTAAGGCTTTTCAAGTCGACGGCGCATGTGAGAGCGTCACGCAAGAGCCCACTGCGAAATGCTGACCAGTTCAAGCTCTTTTGCCCACCCACAAGCAAAGAGAGACTAAGACGACTGAACCCGGGGCGACGGATAATGGAGACTAGATGGCTATAGTCTTCACACCATTGATCGAAAATGCGGCAGTTCAACCCGGTGGGTAACGCATGTGCGTCAACAAGAAGCTCCGATACATTATGATCGTGTTGCTGCTCCGAAAGAATTCGAGTGACTCCAGAGAAGCCGCGCCACTGGGCTCTCACTTTAGCAGAGTCAAAGCCATTGCTGGTGTCATTTTCGATCCATGGAAGAGCCTCGACCTCGCTCGCGTCGATATGTTCCGCCGTGGGCCATCCACGCGGGATGGGGTAATTGAAACCGTCAGGGAATGCCCGAATCATCGGCGTCGGGTAGAGTGGATTGAAAAGGAAACCGTGCGCTGCTGGTGTGACTGTGACTCTCCGTAACGATGGAAAGCGCGGCAACGCGTAACGAAAGGCTGTCATGTCGGTTCCAGCCCGGAGTATCTCGTTTTGTTGCCTTACGAGCTGCTGATAATAGGCCCATGACGCCATCAGTGGCATTTCTGCATCACATTGACGCTGCCTTGTAGTATGGTCAAGACGAGCTGCATCATGACCTTTGCGAGTTTTGAGCGTGCGTATATTTTCCTCACGACACCTCGCAAACCATTGTAAATTGTCATCAACCACCGCCGGAAGGTCCCAGTCTGGGTACCACTTCAACTGTTCCTCCTTCCGGGTGCGAAGGTCCACAGTATGGTGCTGTTCCTGCTCTGAAGCTCGTCCAGACTCAGTTGCGGATCGCAGCAGACGTGCATCATCGTAGATAATCTCGACAACATTTGCCCGAAACGTTTCGTGGTTTGCGATGGCGAGAAAGACTTCAACGTTGCGCGGATTTGGTGAGAGGAAAACCCGATGGATACGCAAAGACACCCTCGCGCCGAAAAAGCGACTGGCCAATCGTAATCTCTTGAGCTCGCAATTCGACAATAAATTCGTTATAAGGAGCAAAACTTCAGCAGGCAGCTGCTCGATTGAGGCTGGTGACGGAATGGCCATGCTTGCTACCTGCGGGGCCTTATGAAGTAAAGACCAGAGCGTCTGAAACCGTGAGACAGTCCGCCTGCTAAATATACAGGTACATGGCACGCTAGTGCTGTACGCGAATTGAGCGTACCATGGTTAGTCAGCTGAGGTGGCCGTATGCAAAAAGCGGGCGGTTTGGATACAACGATATGCCCGGCCTAGCTAACTGAGATTAGGTTGGGGGCCCAACCCCTCGCCCATAATGCATCACTCACAATTGAATAATGGGAGATACATCATATTTTGGGAATGTAATGTAATGTACTTTATTTACGCCCGGAGGGGTCATCCCTAAAGGGCCATAACGAGGGACTATTTGCTCATTCTGCCATAAAAGCCGTACACCTAAAGCCCAACAATTGTTTCCTTCCTTGACCCCTGCAGCCTCATTCCGCGAACTGGCAGTCCTGCCCCGAGGTCATTCCCCCGGGGTGCCCAGCGTCCCATCCTCGGCAGCTGGAGCTCGGTCGGTCAGTGCGAGGCTGCGCGGCTAAGATGTTACGCGCTGACCGCAGTCTACTAGTCCAATTTGTCGCAGGCTCGCCTGTTCCTGTTCATCAGTCTCATATCAGTCTGCCTCTAGCCTTCCTGTTGCCATTGCAAATTTAATCGTCGTTCGGACGGCAGCCATGTCGGGCTTCCATTCCTCGCCATCCGATCCAGACTTGCCTCCTAGGAAGAAAGACAAGTTCCCCATCTTGGTCCGACTGTACCGTATCATGCCTTCTCTCTTCGAATTCCATCGTCTGCATCGAAAGAGGAAATGCTCGACTGTCTCTGCGGCTTGGCCGCAGCTGCATTGGTCCGTCCCTGTAGCCCTGATGCTGTGCAGGTACCTGTTGAGCCTGCACTTTCCTGTTCGTAGCTGTACCAGTATCCTGGACTCCTTGGCGTTCAGAGCGTCGTAGATGGCTCGCGTGTGCTGCCCCGGAAGCGCTGTGTCAATACGTTGCGAATACCGTCCTACCCCGATGGGTATTCTTTGCCGCTGCTGTTGCAGTTGGCCGAGCAGCAGCCTGGTTCTCGTAGATCGTGCTTGATACCTTGCTTTTTCCCGAACGCGCCCTTCCTCTGTAGCCTCACGGGCCGCTGCCTTGGCCATCGCGCCCGCGCGGAAGCTTTCATGCGCGCCCGCGCGGAAGCTTTCATGGCCTGCCGGTACCCACAGCACGGACACCGGCACATCCTGCAGATGCGGCAGCCTCACCTGTCTGTACAGCTCTTGGACTGCGCGTTGCCCGGATTGCTGTCGAGGCTGCCCCACCACATATTTTGGGAATTGCTACGGGGGCATGACACTTTGGCTACGGGGGCATGATCCTTACGCGGGCATGACTTTCGTGGCATTTGATTGGGGGTCTTCTAGCGGACCCACAGGTACAAAATCCCAAGGTCAACGGAGCATGCCTCCCTAACACTGCAATTACGGTGTGATCGAGCCTTCAGTAACGAGGACACAGTCCAACGTAGGACGATGAACATCACCTATGGTGTTCACTGTATATCTTCGGCAACATTCGCTCCAAAAGTCGTATATCGTCATATTCACATCTTCACTACTATAGATGGAAGAACCACTCCATCGCTGTCGCTGTCTACCAACTCCCACTGACTCCTTCGCCTGCGAATGCTGGGTTGCGTCCTACGCCCGCTCGCACATGCCCCCGTAGTTCTTCCAGCTCCAAGAGTCGATGATTGGCCGCTCGTCTGTCGCTGAGATGATAGCTCAACCTCGCTGCTAGCCTGTTGGCCTGCTTGTAGTGCAGACCTGGCACGCGTCGGCTGCTTCTGCCTCTTTCGTGCTCGACCTTGTTTACGGACCGGACCACGGGCCGTCCTGTTAGTTGGCAGACCACAGGGCTGGGCATCAGATTGGGTACTTGTTGCTACCGCTAACCGTGTTGGTACAGCCTGCGGAGTGTTTTTCGGCCTGCCACGGAGAGAAGTGGCGATCTTAGGGTCGAGAATCCGCCGGTATGTATCCCGAGAGGGTGACACCCTAAGGTGCCACCGTGGATGAACATCCCACTTGGTGAAAGCTGGTGGCTCTACGCACAACAGCCAGGACGTCGAGGGCGGCCCCCGGCCAGAGGACGTCAGACTTGAAATGTAGCAATAGCAGCATATCATAGAGGTACAGTACAAGAACGTTATTGACACTTTTGACATCGCCTTGCTCTGAGCTCTCAGTGCCCTGCAGCCACTCGCGCGGTAGGGGGCTTGGCCCCACTGTGATTCACTGCGCATTCGTCCAAGAAGTGTTCCGCCTATCGGTGCTCATCGTCCTAGGCGCAAGATGAAAAATGCACCACTGGTGCCACCGTGCGCCCGGCAGTACTCTTGCGGGCACAGCCAGGTTGTCAATGTCCTGGTTCGTGTCGATGTGAGCATCGTCGTACTGGTCGCGAGTCTTCGGGACGCTCCTGTGTGGCGTTGATAGCACGCCTCGATGCCCACGCGGCCAGTTCCACCGCCCCTTGCCCTACCCTACGACCGAGGAATTCCGCCCTGAAGGTGGCACTTTAATCCGTGAACCGTCATACTGCAGCAGCGCATCATGACAATACGAGGCCAAATGCGAGTGTACGCGTATTTGGATGGCCTGACAACTCCTCGGTTTCTCGAGTTGCCCCTGGCATTGTTCTTTATCGAAGACGGCCGATTTCCAGCGCGCCTGTTAATAGCGTTTCCACCACAACCCCTCATATGCAGCGGCAGCACACAAGTCCTAACGGCCCTACTTGACATGCAACGGCCCAGTTGGTACAGTACTCAACCAATTTTGCGTGTCGAAGTTTATAAGGCGAGCTATGTGGCCACCGTGCGGACAAGCTCAGAGGCAAGCGCATTGCCAGACGCGTGATGCGAACGCCGCTCGGAGCTTGCGGACAGACCGTTCCTGCACCATCTACCAATATTGTTGCGACGAGACCTACATCACCCGGTAAACGTTCGAGGCTCGACAAAGAACTGTCGCCGCGAGACCCAGCCCCTCTCCCGTGCGGTCAGTTTCGCCGACATGCCGCCCAAGGCCCATGCTTACACACGCAGGCCAACTATGAGCGAAGTGTCTATCATGCACCAGTCGGGCCAATACGTGTCGTCCCTGCCAGCAGCGGACGCGCATGACGCGGCAGGGACGGCCGGCAGGAGTCCAGACGCGAAGCACCGCTTTGAAAGAACGGGAGGCCTGACGGCTGGGCGACGTCGTCGCTGTTGACGCTGCCGACGCGGCAAGAAAATGGGTATGCATGCCTTGCCAAGGACAAATGATTCCTTCGGATGGCTAGAAGAAGCCGTTGGAAACCTCCACGGACGTCTATATAAGCCCATGATGCCCCGACGAGAATGGGAGGTGCCAGGCTACAGACCATCACTGAGAACCAGCTCATTGCCGACTTCTTCTTACATCTACTCCTACCGCCTCCTTGTTTGGCACTCCTCAGGATTCCTCCCCGTCACCAACCATCATGGAAGCTCTCCCGGCATTTGGTCTCGTAGTCCGCTGCTTACGCTGCGCCCGCAGTGGAGAACTGATGAGTACGGACGACGTTCAGTGGTACGGATATGTGAAAATTGGGTACAGAAGAGTACACGATCCGAATCCCGACATTGGGAATTTCCTCTCTCAGTCATTTTCCTGAGCTCCCGCCGCTTTACCCTGAGTAGCGCCTGAGCAGCCTGAGTAGCGCCTGAGTAGTGCCTGAGTAGCGCCTGAGCTAACGTCCTTGGGAATATCGGGCGCATGATTGGATTATAGCCTGCAGGTGGGGCTCTACAGCCCACTGGCGGCCGCGGACGCGGCACACCATCGGCGCTGCCTGGCCTGGGCGAGGGATTATTCCACGCACTAATTACGTCCCTCGGGCTGGTGCGCAATTGTCACGCTACATGCGGCATTGGTAGCCTCATTCAAGACGCGGGATACATGCTGAATGCAACGCACCAGACATGGCTAACAATGGCAAGAGTTTATTGAGGCACGATTATGTAGTATGTTGAAAGGGCAATGTTCGTAGGTCATGATCACTTGCTAGCCGTGACATGGGATATCCTCTATCACGGATCGTTGTGATAGCTCTGCTCCCGTGTGAATTCTTCACGGTGACTTAGCCGGTACATGTGCTCTGAGCACTACTCTTTCAAGATTTGCTCCTCATCAGTTTGTCCTGGCATCACTACAACCCGCCGCTATCTGTTGCACCACAAGGCTGACTAGCCAGGGAACAGTGCAAGCCCTTTTGGAATTATGACCATAAAGTCAAGGCATGATGCGCTTAAGTGTGATGACCTGGCACGTTGTTACTATTCGCTTGGTTGCGCCACTTTACGGATGATCCTCGCGCTTAGTCATTACGTGAGCAGTACAGATTGGCGAACTTCGCCGTAACTATGGTTCGATCTCGTCCGGCAGCAGCTTGTCAGTCCTCTGGCGACTGAAGCGCAGCTCTGGTGGCATCTCCAGGCGAGAGACTTGGGTTGACCAATCAGATGCGGGTAAAGTTGGTGTGACGAGACAAATCGCTGGACCCTCATTGGCTCCCGGTGTGAATGCGGATATAGCTGCTGGTCAAGCCACGGACGTGGTTAACCCCGCAGATGATCTCGTCCAGCGGTCAAAGCGCTGAAAGGGAACCTCAATAGAGCATTCTTCTTTAGGAGGCAGCCTAGGCCCGAGAAATTTTCATGGCGCTCTCCGCAGCTTTGCACCTATTATTTATATGAATGCATATACTGGTTTGTAGAGATATGGCTACCTGCTCTTTGGGTAATTAACACACTAGTTCATCCGATGCTCTATTGCGAACGGCCAGACTTCATAACCATGGTCCAGAAAGCACGTGCTTACCCACGTGATGATTATTTACCATCCTGGACGATCCTGCCCGATCAAGCCGCCAAGCGGCCGTCTGTGGTTTGCGACTTGCACGTTTTGAGTTCATTGGCGTTGCAACACGAGGATATCTATGGATCGAGGAGCTCCCCAAGAGGATGCAGGATCTGAGCCTGCTGCGATAACACAGTTGTATTCGAGTGCTAGCCTAGGTTAGGAGACGGCCCAATCACGCCTCGCCACGATGCGCATTCGCGGGGTTGCAATTGCTGACTTTCGTTACTCGCTTGGGTCCACTTCTCCGGGCGGAGATGCGCGGTGCGTTTCCGAACCTATGAGTACGTGTAGCTCCGGCCTCCCCTCCAAGAAAACTGACCATAGCTCTAACTACCATAAGCCACTCTCACGCTAATCAACCAGGAGCTAATTTCAACATCGCCCTACGTCACTGGTTGTGTCCATTATTTGAGACACCAATCATTGCCATGTCTCCTACCACCTTTATTCTCACGAGCTCCCCTTTTGTCTTGAACCAGATTGCCTTGGCAAGCTTCATCCCGAATATTCGCCAGCCACACCAGGACGGGAAGAAGCCCTACGCGGTTAAAGCCTCTGACTACTCCGTTCAGCCAGACGATGCCTTCGATGGGCTTATCAATACCGGCTCAAAAAACTTCCTCAACATCTTTGCAACCAGATTTGCGTCCTTTTCTTTACAGCATGACAAGAGCAGTATGCTGCACGTCACTGCTCAGAAAGGCCGCATATACTCGCTGGACAACCCCAGCAGTCTGTTTCAGGAGATAGTGTTTGGACCAGAGACGGGCGGAGACATGCAGGAGTGGTTCGAGCACTGCAAACGGCTCAGAATCCAGCCCCGATTTGTGACTGGGTACCGCACCTTCATAGACGCTCAGGTCTCCCGTGGCCAGCATCTCACAACCGATATTTCAGGGCAAGGAACAGTCCCAATCAGCACTGCCCAGGGAGACATGTTTGGCACCGCAGACATCGAAGTGCAGGGTGGTCGACAAATGAACACGGACGTGAAGGGCGAGATGAACGCGCCAGGCGAACGGATCTACGCGATCTGCTATCGTAAGATCAATATCTCATCTCATGAAGGAAAGGTGACGGCCTTACTGGAGCAAACAAACAAATGGAAGCCTTTTGCGGTAATGCGTGGCGAACCAGATGAGGAGTACTTCCAGGCGGACCTGTCCGACAAAGAGGATATTGAACGATGTGACACTTACGAGATTGAAAGCACCCAAGGGAAGGCAATTTTTGCCGTTCCATCCGAATAGCTAGGATACGTGTCGCGAAGCTTTAAAGGCAACACAACTTGGGAGAAAATATTTTAATGTCTTCCATTGCAGCCAATATTATACAAGCATCCACCTCTAAGGCCAAAGACATAGTACTGGTATTGGGTAGCTTAGGTTAGCCTGATGCTAGAGTTGTTACAATGCTTTACGCCATAACGTAGCGCAGTGACAGTATGGTATCATGGCTTTCCAAGTTTTGTTACTCCTTAGGCCAAACCGATCCTCATACAGACGATCCGAGTCAGGGACCTCACTACCTGTCCGGTATCTGCCATTAGCCGGTCAAGCTGACGAAACGTTTTGTGATCTTCGGTAAGACAGCATCAGGCTTCATTTTCAAGTATAACGCGAGTCCAACTTATATGTCCTTGAATCTCAAACGCCAAAGTGAACATAAGGAACCCAGAGCGGCCGGCTTGGTTCCCACCCGCCTGTCAATTCAACCTCTCGCGCTGGCCGTACATGTCCGCGTCCACCGTCCTCGCCGTCCACCCACTGATCTCGGAGCGTCCTCATGGCCCCGTGAAGAGCCCGGCTTACCATTTCATCCTCCATCCCCTCATCCCGCAGATACTCATAGATCATCTTGGCCATGGCCACACACAACTCGTCATCCACACTCCAAAGCGTGCCAATCACATGTCGGAATCCAGCCAGCTGGAAAGCATTGGCCAGGTGTATGCTTTCATCAACGGACCCATCATCCAAGATCTGGCCCGTCCCGCATGCTGAGAGATAGGCAAGGAATGGCGCCTTCGCAGTAAGATTGGTCTCTAGGAGACTTGCCACCGTGAATGGTTCCTGATCCCAGTCATCTAGGAGCAGCTGACTCTCTAGTAGTTCTGTGGGATGCGTGCTGCCGTGACCGGCAAAGTGGAATATGCTGCAGGCCTTCAACGCCGACGAGACGTCGGCCTTGTACGGTCGTGGTCGATCGTACGGCAAACCCATTGACTCGCAAACAGCCACGACCGTGACGATCTCGTCGGTCGCGTGTTTCAGCGGCGTCTGTTTTGGTGTGGTCTCCATGGCAACGGCAACGACATTTCGGGCCTCCCCGACTTCCTGTGCTTGATGTGGTCGTTGTCGACTGCGTATGATGGCCTTGATGGATGAGGCGTAGGATGAGACGACCCTATCGATCGCCGTCTCGCCGGTGCGCCTCAAATGGTGACCCGCTGCGTGCAGTGGAAATCGGGTCAGAGTGCCGG